ATCTATGGCAATAGTTTTACTTGGCAACATATACAGTATATTTAGTTTGTACTCTTTTAATTCTTTTAACTGTTTTATATTTTTATGACATACATAAACCAGTGTTACTTGTTCAGATGGGCAGCTGTTGAAATCAAATAAGTAAAAAATAATAAATTATTTGAATCTGATCAGTTCAATCCAGTTCAAGTCAGATCCATATTCAATTCAAAGAAAGGAGCATCATAAAAATACAGGATCTCATCTCATTTCAATCAAAGAATTAACTGGGATACACAGAATAGTCCAAAGTTGGAGATTTGGGGGACAAACCAGATTATTTTATAAAAGCTGCTGAATTTTGAAAAGATAATATAGATGGAATGAATATCCATTTATGTTTGTTTTGTCATCTAAAGTAGAAATTAAACTTACAAATATGCTAGAATCAAATATATTTTTAATCCTCAAAATTTGCCTGAAAAATTATTTAATGACTACTTTTATGCTTTAAAAAGAAAATAGAACATTTATTTGGGTAACAATTTCAATCACAGGACAATGAGGATGAAAGACGGTGATTGCATGACTTTGGGCCAGTCATTCCCTCTCTGCCTACTTCAGAAGGGGGTTGTTTTACAGGGAAAATGGGAGACAGGGATGCTACATGCTGTTTAAGTTCTACAGAGTCAAGACCATTAATCAAATAGTAGATATAAGTAGATTGCCAGTGACATCAAGATTTTTATGACTTCTTCTGCTGTTTATCAAATGAACAATACAATGTTTTGACACATGTTATTGGATGGAGACATTCAAAGTCCACAAGATCAGTGCAGGATATTATTGAACATAATAACACAAATGGTAAGCCAGTCAAATATAACTCATTAGATACGTATGGTGCCTGCCTTTATTGAAACTTTAAATGAAGCAATACTGGAGAGAAACAGAGAGATCACCACACCTGTTGGGAAACTTTCCATCCAAGAAGATGGATCTGTTCCTCTCAGGCCTCTGACAGATCAGGTAGTAGAGAATAACACTAATTACTCTTGACAGATGTATTTAAGTGAAAGAAAAGGCTAAAGATTAGGGAAGGTAGAAAGTCCTTAAAGCACTTCTATTTATAAACCACCTACACTGTTCACCCACGCAAATTTTCTCAGATGGAGTAAATCTCAGGAAATGACTTCAGCTGTAATTTAAAACTGTGGGTGGTAGGGTTTTTTTTTTTTTTTTTTGGCTCCTTGGGCTTCAGAGTCTCCTCTTATTGTTCTTCAGGCCATAAAGGGCTGACTCATTTAACTGTTTTTATATATGGAAAGGAAACTGTTTAGATTTGTGAAATCAAATCATAACAGAGGAAATATTCTGGATCCTGAATCCAGATTGTTGGTAAGGAAAATGGTCCAGATTAATCTTGATCAAGATCTTGATCTTAATCTTGATCAAGATAAAGATAAAGATAGTTAGATAGTTATAAAATCTATATATAAAGAAATATATATACGTACACACATTATTATAAAATGTATGTATAAATACTATTATAAAAATAGTTTTTATTTTAACCCTGATTTCCCTCCCTCACTCTCTCTGTCTCTGACTCTGTCTGTCTGTCTCTTTCTCTCTATCATTTATCTAAATCAGGGTTAAAATAAAAAACTATCTTTATAATTATGGAAACCTTTATGGATTTTGCCGATACGCAGAAATGACAACAATTTTTGGGTTTATGATTGGACAAATTCAGTGTTATGGGAAGAAGTAAATTATGTCTAACTGCATAAAATGTGGAAAAGTATTAATTTGCCTGTATTTATTGCAAGGAAGATCAGGAGTCACTTCTTAAAATATTCTTTTTCTATTTATTCTAGCCTTCTAACATTTGAAGAGAATATGGATTTATTCTCCATAGCACCCAAGGGTAGCATAAGAACAAATGGTTGGAAACTTTACAAAAAGGAGATCTAAATATTAAATAAGGACCTTCTTGACTGCATGTGCTATTAAGCAGAGGAACAGTGTGCATTCTGGAGTCATGTCTGTATCATAGTTTTACAAACAAAATTGTCTGGGATGGTATGCAAATTTCTGTCTTGGACAGGAGGCTGGACTAGAAGATCTTCAAAATCTCTTTCAAGCCTATAAATCTATGAACCAGTTTATCTGGATGACCTATTATTTCCACTTCTATTTTCAGTTTATAGATCCAATTATATAACTTGATTTTAGCTCTTTTGTAAACAAACCTTATAGAAGGAAAGAGATTTCGACAGATTTAACAAGTTCTGATTTGTGTACAATCTAATAAAACAGCTAAAACTATGAACAGTATAGTTAATTATGTTGCAAATTGCCACAGGAAAGTCTGGTTTTGAAAGGTGACTCACAATTTTTTTAAAAAATAGCATAAATATACTGTCGGGTTTACAGAATATAGTACATTCTATATTCCAGATTGTATCTTCTTACATCCCCGTGACACAAAGGTTGTTTCCCTTTATTGCCATTTTAGCACTTACCAAAGTCAGTAACTAAAAATCAATCCAATTGTATAACTTCAAGTCCCCTTCAATCAGTAAATTGCAGAGTTGAAATGATCATCTAGAACAGTGAAGGCTAACCTTTTATGTCACCGCGTGCCAACCTGCGTGCTGGAAATGGCACGCAAAGCCATTCCGCCTGGACCGCATGGCCTCGTTGGCCTTCGCGTACATGGGAGGGCTGAAACCCGGAAGAGCAGCATTCCATCGTGCATGTGCATGCTAGCACCCGAACTTCCAGTTTCTGTCACGGAAGTGCGCCCAATGAACAGCTGACCATCGCACATGCGCACAATGTAAACCCAGAAGTTCGGGTGCCATTGCACGCATGTGCGATGGAACACTGCTCTTCTGGGTTTTGGCGCTGTTGCGTGCATGAAGGCCAGCTGACCAGTGCACATGTGTGCACAGGAACGTGGAAGAGGAGCTAGCGAGGTTGCGTGTCCCACATGGATGGTTCTGTGTGCCACATGTTCCATAGGTTTGCCAACACAGATCTAGAATGATGAATTCAAGGACTTCGAAAGGAAGAAATGACAAACTAAAGATGGCTTTGTGAAAAGTAGAATTGATGACTGCAGTGAAGAAGAAATAGCTGATGAATAAACCAGCTCTTTGGAATATCTCTTAAAAAGAAAAGATGGGAGATCACCAACATGCACTCCAAATAGTTGTTTCTTATGAGGTCATCACAAGCCAGGTATCCCTGGTGGCTTTGGGCATTGAGAGTCATCTTGTTCAGAACCACAGTCAATGCTTTTTAAAGGATACTAAGTTTGCAAACTTCTTTTCCTAAGCATATTTGTAAATTGTTTGTTAACTTCTATTAACCTATTGGAGGCCTTTAGTCTGAAGACACTGGGTGAGTTTTCCTTCAATCCTTCATGAAAAAAACATTAACATTCATAAGCTTAAGAATGCAAAAAGTTTGAAGTAACTAGCAAAAAGCTAAATAAAACTATGATAATAGAAAGTTATAAATTATTAAGTCTCCAGATGAATTTGTAATAAGATTTTGGAATTAATTATAAAGAATCCTTCCGATAGGAGATAGATTTGGCTGGACTTTTGCAAGACAAAATAAAGTTAAGCGGTTTTGAAAACTGGACACTAGAGGGAACTAAAGACGTTAGTTAAAGGAAAAACATACATAAGACTGATTAACCATTACTTAACTTGATGTATAAAACATTTTAACATTGAAAATATTGAAGGACACTTTGGAAAAATGAAATTAGAAGTTAATATCAACAGTTTCAATAGATATATTTGCTTCTATGGATAGACTGTGTCCAAATTATGCTTTGGAAAAAAATGGCAGATGAGGAACAAATTCCATTTGATATGGCAGGGATGTCATGGAAAATAGATCTAAAAATGACATGAGAATGGCATGGAAAAGGCTGTCACACTAGACTAGGAGTGTCAAACTCGCAGCCCGCAGCCCGGATGCATCATGCACTAGCCACAGCCACCCCCATTTTAGTGAAGGGAAAAAAAAGTTGTGATATGTCATGTGATGACACCATGAGAAACCCCTGCACTAGATTACAAGAGAAACCAGTTGAGGTTTTAAAAATCCAAATCCAAATAAGAAACCAAGAGAGTGACCTGGATAATTCTTTTATGCTAGATTTACAAAAGATGCTTGATAAAGCTTTGAAGAATCTTGTGAGAAGGAACTAGGAAAAAATGATATCAAATTCCAGCAACATTATTTGAATGAACTAGCCATTAAAACTGTTAGGAAGGAAGGAATATATAATTAGTTTATTTGATCAAGGTTAAAATGTGTTATTATTTCTGGTAACCCTTAATGAACATTCAGCTGACACTGAAACTAAAAAGATTATTTTTTATGGATTTGCCTATAGATAAGAGGTGGGATATGAATGTAGATGTAACTAGAGGGAGGCAAACATGTTTATACTTATCTTGAAGGTTTTTATTTCTTTTCTCTCTGTTCACTATATTCTTTTCTTTGTTTTTTCTATTTTCTACATTCTTTTTTCTTCTCTTTTGCATCTTTCACTCTTTTTTCCATTCTTCTTTCCTTTAGTTTTTATTAGATTTTATTATTTTAATTAAGTTTATAACCTAATAAAAGTTATAAAATTAATGATGACAAAACGTATCTCTTTAAAATTGTATAAGAAATACATCACATTTTTTTATTCAAGGTTGTCTCAATGTTGTTCAGGAGAAAGAAACCGAACTAGCAGTAATTATATATAATGTATCTCCAAAATCTGAACTATATTGGCTTACTGTGGTTAGTAATGATAACAAAATTTGAGGACAATTAATTACGATGACTCTACAAACTAAAGAAAACAAATGGTATCCACATGCTTTAAAATCCTATAACCTGCTATATTCTTCCCTCTTTCTCTTCCTGATATGAGAAACATGAAATTATTTGAAATTATGCTTCAAAGCCAGTAATAAAGATAAACTCAACACACTCAAATATTTAATCAAATATTCAAATATTTATTCATGAAAACATAACATAATAAACATTACATGTGTCTTCAAATCATTGATTCCATAACGATCAGATAAAATCATTAGTAGTACAAAAGATGGTTAATTGTTTTTTAAAAAAATATTTTTCAAAAGCACATCAATAGCTAAATTCAGCAGAGGATCATTTAGTACTCAGGGATCCTAATCAGTATCAAATGCTTTTGCCTTCAGTTTTGCCTTTAAAATATCTATGAGGATGATTATGGTTTTAATCAAATTCATTGTAGTGAATGCAGAATGTTTTAGTACACCCAGTTAATAATTTATTAAGCCACTTGGTTGATGGGGCTGGTTGCAAAACAGTGGAGGGTCTGCAGACTATACAGCTGACATCCTGCAGTTATCATGGAAATACTCAGACTGTTAATTTGCACAATAAAACACACAAAGCAAAAATATTTTTAAATTTATTCTTATTGCATTTTTGTCCTTGGACTTTTTCTGTTGTTCAGATGTAGCAGTGAGTTTAATTTATTCAATTCTTGGGATTTAGTTTAAAGTAAGAGATTTAATTCTGCCTGCTGTTCAGAGTTTTTTTTTGAGGTTGTCCCATTCTTCAATATATTTACATTTAAAGCATTCTAAATTTGGTATCAATGGAGTTTCTAAGTGTATTGTAGCCTGAGTCTTTGTAAAATTATAAAAGGCCCAAGGAGAGGGCATCTATTGGAGACCCCTGTACAACCATATTCTTATTGTATTATAGGTGTAATTGTAGTTGTGATTGCTGCTATCAATGATTTTTAAAAAAAGAAAAATATATTGTAAAACCCAAAATGTGTAACTAATTTGGGATTAAACTTTAATTGATCAATTTTACTGCCTTGAATCAAAAGATCAATGGTTTAGATGGGCCTCCCTCCTTATGTGAAGCCCAGAGCCATTGCTTTCACTGTCTTCCCTTCTCCCAGATGAAGGTACAGGGTGCACGAGAGCTAGGGTCAGGTGATGAAAAACCATGTCCAGTCCTGAAATATACTTAGATGACTAGCCATTATTGTTCATCCTAAAGACATCAGAACAAGATTATTAAAATGAAAAAAAAAAAAAAGATAATCTGATGCATGCTCCCTGAGCTCTCCAGAGTAAATACAGTATGCTTAATCTTGAGTTATTTTAAAGGTAAAGGTAAAGGTTCCCCTCTCACATATGTGTTAGTTGTTCCCGACTCTAGTGGGCAGTGCTCATCTCTGTTACAAAGCCAAAGAGCCAGCACTGTCCGAAGATGTCTCCGTGGTCATGTAGCTGGCATGACTAAACACCAAAGGCGCACGGAACGCTGTTACCTTCCCACCAAAGGTGGTCCCTATTTTTCTACTTGGATTGTTTACATGCTTTTGAACTGCTAGGTTGGCAGAAGCTGGGACAAGTAATGGAGCTCACCCCGTTACACGGCACTAGGAATTTGAACCACTGAACTGCCAACCTTTCGATCAACATGCTCAGTATCTTAGCCACTGAGCCATCGCATCCCTCTGGGTTAGTCTAATGGTGGTGGTGGGGGAATCCTTTCATGTCTACTTATTGAGTAACCCAGTATTTTATGAATACACATCGCCATTAGGATCTGTAGAATTTCTGCCTTTTATAGGAAGACAACTAAATCACATATGCAAAATTTCTGAATATCATTTCAAAACACAGTTGGTTATGTTAATAAGATTAGGAAGCTTAAAGCTGTTTAACTCTTAAACCAATATATCAAACTCAGAAGTGTGTAATTGGATAAGTTATGATGACACTGAAATTATGTGATAAATTATCAAAATGAGTATAAGAATGTATTTGTTGATTCCAGTCATGATCTGTCTTCAATCATTCAAGCATAATTAGTTTTCACTGATCCTCAGAGCTGTCCCAAATGAGATTATTCAGCTGATTGGTCTGAGGATACTTTAGAAGAAATGTTTTCTGACTGAAGCAGGAATGTTGTGTAAGCCATTTCAGCTTCCTCTTTAGAGCCCTAAAATGAATAGAAATCCCAGCATTATTTTAACGAAGCCTGAGGATAACGTGCCGAGACAAATTTGTCATCTGCATTTTAAAATAGTCATCCCCAAACTAGATATTCTCCAGGTATGTAATCTCAGCTCCACAAATCTTCCAGACAGTATGGCTGTCTTAAATACTAATAAATGTATTACAGCATAAACTTTAATGCTATAATTTCATCATACTTCATCCCATATGCAATTAATTCCTACAATATTAGGAATCTAGACTGCATGAGATCATTGGTTTATTTAACCGATTATTGAACTAATGAAAAACAGTATTTTACACATTTGTCACATCATTTATTCATTTTTACTTTCCCTATAAAAGGTTTGGGAGAAGGTTTTAGAATATCAAATAAAATAAGATGTTAATTTAAAATTATAATGTAAAATGTACATATGAAAAGAAAGTATGACAAATCTTTTTTTAAATGGTCCAACATCCATTGATTTTTGTACATTGCTCAGAGTCCCTTCTGGTGAGATGGGTAGCTATATAAATTTGATTAATAAATGTATAAATAAATCCAACTTCCAAAATTATCACTATGATGTGATAGACTAGTACTATGAAAGACATAGTCGAAACTGAGGTGAAAGATAGCCAACTTTATTCCAAAGTACAGCAGTTAGGGACAATAATGACAAAGTTTGTGCTTGACAAAGTATTACTAAAAGAGACTAAGATATGAAAGATATTAATTAAGTCCCTGCATACTATCTTAACCTCTAAAAGCAAATAAATAAACGTACCAATAAATACTAATCCATTGTAATCCTCTCAAAATAATATAATTTGCCCTTACCCTCTTCGGTTTCTTTGATTTTCCATCCTCCTTAGGACTGCCAGAAGTACTTGAATTCTCTGAAAAGAATACAAGATAAGATTGAATGTGAAAAAAGAGAACTTCGTGTATCCATTAATTCTAGAATTGGCAAAATAATGTAAGTTCATGGCTGAAGAAGTGACAATTGCATTTGGCTGATAAGCATCAAGCCATAATTAGAATTCATTTTGAATACCATTACCATCCTTCTTTCCCATTTGGGTCTCATGAAACTCTCCCATGTGTGCATTGTCCTTTGCCCCATACTGTCTCACATTCTCAAACTCTGTCATGCTGATATTTGTCCTGTAGCTTCCAACTGATACAAGATCTATAAAAAGAAAAAGAACATTTCACTACAATTTGTTCCACCTTAGATTCTGTATGCATGTTGTATTAATTCCAGGAGAGAAAAGCTGATATAGACTGTGGACTTATTACTGAAATCTTATTGTGTACAGCAGAAGTACTATTTGAAGGAGCTACCAGAGATCCAGTTTGGGTCGTAAAAGCTCACAACATGCTACTTGCATTGTTTCATTAATTATAGGGTCATAATCCACAGGTGTGTTAGAGAAGGTTTTAGGACTAAATCTAACTCTTCATTCCCCTAATATTGCACTGAAGAAACCTATAAACCATGACAGCCCTAACACAGATAACCTTAATTCATTCTTTCTGGGTTTAATAGGAGGGAGGGAGGGAGGGAGGGAGAGAGAGAGCGATGGAACAGAACAAATAAAAGAATCATCTCATCCCCCATGTTTTGGAAGAGACCAGTTGTTTTGCCACAGACTTTTTTCTATATTATCACTGTTGGGTTGAGGGATTTTAAACCGATCTGCATTGAAACAGTCTTTTAACTGACTTTTGACTAGTCAGAATTGTAAATGTTTCTGCAAAACAGGTACTTCATTTTTTCTGTTCTCTCTTCCTACCCACTCACAATTTCTGGAATAAAAGAATGAAAGCCATAGTACATTTATAATCCAGACTGTAACATTTCTAATTTTTATCTTGTAATTTTATTTCTATATGTAAAAGCATTCTCTGTTCTATTTGATGCTCAGAAATATGCTAAAGCGATCGGTATAAAAATTAAAATGGTTTCCAAGGAGGTTATATTTAGTATAGTCTCACCAGAATTCCTAAATAATCTGAACTTCTTTATGGTAAAAGCAGTGACGAGAAGCAGAAACACAATTCCAAAGGGGATCAAAGTGGCAAGAAGAACAACAGAGGTCTTATTTTCATCATGGCTGGAAAAGAAGCAGAATTGGCATAGGAAATATACAGTATTATTAGTACAGTCTTAATAATATTTTTCAGAAAGACAGTGAAGAAGTTCCAGAACGTAATGCTATAGGAATGAACTTCATTCCATCAAGGGTCTCTTATTTTAATATTTCCATCTTGGCTATAAGGAAGAGATGGGAAACATTAGCTTTTAATTTCTGATTAGTTGTTGTTTTCTCTGTTTGCAGAAAAAAAAAGCCTACAATATCCACAAATGGCCACACTGATGTACAGAATGAAAGAACATACTGTATAGACCTGGGGAAGGCTATGATCATTATTTTTCATTATTCTCAGTAGCAGTCAAGTATACTAGGGAATTCTGGGTGTATATGGCCACCTGCCTGGAGAATATCCTGTTGAGCAACGTAGTGCTTAACCAGCATGATACAAACTTGGATTGATTTTAAAAATCTGATTAAGACTGAGATTGCCTGAAACTAGTTATATTTGTCTTCTAGAAATGAGATGAATTCCTGAGCTGTGTTTCTGTGCAATTGCAATAACCCAGTACTTAAACCAACCTGCCACTCCTTACATCATCTTTGGCTCTCCAGAATTGCAAATTAATTTTGCTATTGGTTAATATTATTTAAGCCAATAATTATATGGGGATGCTGTTCCCCTTAAATACTTTTGATTTTCTATTTGCATGCATTCATAAATAATTATTAATTATTTTCAAAGTCGCTTACCTGCCTGCTGAAGTTTCACTTTCAGCTGCCTGATTGGCTTTGTCTATAGGAGAGTTCCTATTAACAGGATTTATTCCAGGAATGGCAATCTCTTCATTGATTCTGGATGCTCCTTCAACATTTAGAAGTACTATTAGGAGTATTTGGGGAGTTGGTAACCCAGAAGCAAATGGGAACATAAAAGGCAAGGGAAAAAACATCAGCAAAAAAATCAGTGAGATCATACTTAAGTTACATTCTTTAAGTCAGCGAATGAAGACAATTATACCATAGATAAGTATACAAATTCAATCAATGATGAAATATTCTGGGTTTGTTTTTTAATCCCGATTTCCTATTTGCATTTCTTTTTCTTTGGATATACTTCTTGCAAAAACTAATGCATCCTACTTACTTTACTAAAGGACCCATAAGAAAAACTGTCTTGTCCTGCAATATGGAAAGTAATTTCTAGTAAACGTTCAGGAACTCAAACCTTTTGTAAGAAGAGCCTAAGCATAGTATGTTAGACACTAAGTTGATTTCATTTGACTAAAATAGTGTGTCTACTTAAAGACTAAGGTAACACATAGTTTACATTTTCATGGGTGAGAGACCATTTCATTATATGCATCTGAATGAATGGCAAACTGAGAAATCTTATATTAAATGATGTGTTAATATTTTACATGCAGGCAGAAGTAAGAAGCTGATGGTGGCTCAGTGGTTAAGACACTGATCTTATCGATCAGAAAGGTCGGCAGTTCAGCAGTTCGAATCCCTAGTATAGGTCTCCTCTGTGAGCAGGGGGTTGGACTAGATGACCTCCAAGGTCCCTTCCAACTCTGCTACTGTTACTGTCATGGACTAGATCCAACCCTTATTCCACTACTTTAGGGATCCACCTCACTGATCTAATGGCTTTTGCTGACACATACAAACCTATCTAGCTCTTGATAAATCATTTTCTATAATACAGTAGCTCCCGATATTTCAGTATAAGACAAACAAGGAATTTTTGATGTAAAAACATAACTATTCTTGAAATATCCAGTATTTTTCTTATAGCCACACAGAAAGTCAAGTTCAGACACTAATTGTAGTCATAAATTTGTAAAACTTTAGCTAATTCGATAATTGCCTGGGGAATATCAGGTATTGTAGCGTCATAACATGACTAAGATTTAGCAGATAATCTGTTGTGACTCCAACTCCCGAGCTGTCCTCATGGAGGAAGAGGACTCAGAAGGTGAGGGGGAGGAACTGACAAGGCCTCCCTCTCCAGGACCCTCCTCTCTAGCAATGCCTCTGGTTCCATCCGAAGGCCAGGAGGAAGGCATTTCGGAGCACTCATTGATAGAGAGTGATACTGATGAATCCTGGCTTGATCCCAGGCAGCATCAGAGGGAGAAGCGTGCGCAGCAAAGGAAGAGGTGTGGGAGGGCCAGGGATTGAGCTGAGTCACTGAGCCATGCCCCATAAGGGATAAAAGGGGGCGTGATTGCTCGGCAGACTTTGTGATGGACAAAAGTTTAAACTCTAAAGAGTCACATTGTGAATCCTGAACTTCGGCTCAGATATATTTTGGACTAAACTCTGGTGGATAATTTGTCGCTCTGGAAACGGACTGCAGATAAGGCCTCTCCTGCTTTTTGGCAGGACTTGGCAGGCATTTTACAGTTAGCTGCCAGAACTCTCGTCTGCCAGGAATTCTGGTCTGTTTATACAATAAATTATTGGCAGGCGTGTTTGATATTGCATTTGTCTGTGTGAGGACGGGGGACAGAACATAATCTATTTTAAACCAGCCCAGGTAGGTGGCAGCACCAGACAACTTTGGTCAATCTTAAAAAATTAAGTAGACTTGACCTCGGTTAATACTTAGATGGACACCACCATGAAATACCAGGGCTACAGCTAGGTTGGAAAGTTGAGAAAATCATCCTGAAAAAAGGAACAGTTCTATGTTGGTGGCCAAGAAATAACTTCTAAGACTTTGACAAGACTTGGACTAGGTGCAGCTGAAAATTGGAATGGGTATAATCTAATTTGGTTCCCTATTGATTAGACTCACCTCCTTGTACTTGCAGATGCAATGCAGCTGTTTCTCCATATTGCTGCCCATGTTTGACACCACACCAATACCATCCTTGGTCTACGGGTGTCACCTGGTCAAAATTCAAAGATAAAATTCCACTATCTTTGTCACAGTTAACTACCAAGCCGGTCTGATTTTGTTCAGATGAAATGAGAGGTTTACATTCAGTGTTCTTCCATTTGCACCAATATTTCTGATATGTAAAATATTTGCATGGATAAGAGCATGATATAGTCAGAGAGGAGCCAGCAACAGCACGAACTTCTTTCTTTGTTAGTAATGTAGGTTGTCCTGTGTCAGGAGAAAAAAAAGTGTAATAACCCCCCCAAACACTTGAAAACAGAGTGCTTGATTTTTAGCATCACTAAAATGATTGACTATCTGGTCTACATAATGCAGCTTCCTTCCCCACTAAATCTACACAGCTATAATGCAAGCAGAAATCTAGCCGGCCTTTCCTTGGCACATAATCAGATGGGTAACTGTCACACTTGAATTAGGCAATTAACTAATTTAGCAAAGATAGTTCCCATGAATCTTTCAGTTGAAAACCTTAATTATTAATGTGGACAACCACATACATGGTAAGTTTCACACATTGTGATATAGAAGTTAAAGTGTTGTGAAATCTTGATTTAAATCTCCATTAGCTAGTTAATTGTCTTCTTGAAAAAGTTTTTTTCCCCAAACAAAGATGTTACTTGAGGAAAATAGAAATGATAGTCAGAATAAAAATTTGTCGCCAGATATAAAGAGAAAACTGAATAAAGTTTTAAAAATCAAAAATAAAATAAAAATGGTAATCCTAGAAAACAACTGGAATATTTTCTGTTTGCTGCATTTACAATGAGACTGTTTAAAATGGTAAGAAATTTGTAATAAAATCAAAAATCATCTGAATGGATTAAAAAGACTTTATAGAAGGAAGAAGGACTATTAAATCAGTTAATTTTGTCAGGGATAAAATGGAATATGTTGTTACTTTGGGTGGTTCCTTTTGGACTTACTGATACTCTAATTAGAAAATGTGGATTTGCTTACATTTGACATGATGTAGAAATCTTTTTCCCTTTTTCCTTTATGTACTTCTTTTTGTAATTTTATTAAGATTTTTGCAAAGAACAATAAAAGATAATATGAAGTAAAAGAAAAAGCTGCACATTTCTGAAATGTGGCTGTGCTCATGGGTTAGAGTAGACACATGAAATATATATATGAACAGAATAAGTTGGTATTTGGAAAGTTGTATATTGGAGCTTACTTTTTGGAGAAATGATCTTTCTTTGTCATGTAAAATTGGAATAGTTTTTTAGACTGTTTATATTAGGATATTGGGACCACTTTATGCTTTTTAAATAGGATTTTTTATGCTTAAGAGTTGAGATGTGTATTGTGAAGTATTATATATACTTAAAATATATACTTTTACTATAGTAAAATCTTAGAGCTTTGTTTGGATCTTTTGCTGGTAATTGGATTGAAGAATAACATTATTTATTTCATTTGCTTATTGTTAAGTTATGGGTTATGAGATGAAAAGTTTTACATTTGTCAGCTAAATAGAAGTGAAGAGATTGTGGAGTTGTTTATAGTTGACGTGGTGAGGGTGGGAAGTCACTTTCTGGGGCAGGGCAGCACGGCTCTATTTATACTTTTTTCTTGATTTTTAAAAAAATAAAAATAAATGGGGAAAAAGATTTGGGTTATGGATGCATCCTGAGCAAATATGTAGAAATTTAAAGTTGAAAATTATTGGCCTGGCGCTGAGGTGCACTAGGTAAGACTCTGTCTACCCTTCTTCATACTAATGTAGTAACTTAGACACATATTTATGAACATCTATAATGCTAAAGTCTGGGAATTCTATAATTTGTATTCCCAATCCACCTGAAAGGTACTTGGTGGACAAATGACGATATAGATATAAAGAGTCTTTCAGTACCCAGTATTTCAACAGCAAATTAAATTTCTGTTTCTATCTACCTCTCCTACCAAAAAAACAACAACAGGATTTAAGAGTGCGACAAGCCAGTGGTGGGATTCAATTTTTTTTACTACCAGTTCTGTGTGCGTGGCTTGGTGGGCATGTCATGGCTTGGTGGGCATGGCAGGGGAAGGATACTGTAAAATCTCCATTCCCTCCCCACTTCAGGGGAAGGTTACTGCAAAATCCCCATTTCCTCCCAATCAGCTGGTACTCGGGAGGCAGAGAATAGATGGGGGCGGAGCCAGTCAGAGGTGGTATTTACTGGTTCTCCGAACTACTCAAAATTTCTGCCACAGGTTCTCCAGAACTGATCAGAACCTGCTGAAACCCACCTCTGCTGCAAGCTAGATATAAATAATGTATCTATTTGTGATGACAAATCTATGGCACGTGTGCCGGAAGTGGCAGGCAGAGCCATCTCTCTATTTCCAGCTCTATATATCTATATAGGTCTCCCACCTAGCAGGAAGAGCTTGCTGGCTGCTAGAAAAGAAAAAGCCCAGAATCGAGTGGATGTGATTCTACTGAGATATATATATACTTACGTATTATTTCCATTATTCTATTCTATTCTATTTATTTTGACTTTCCATCTGGATTTGGAACATCACCCTCCCAAAGATTCAGATAGCCCAAGCTAGCCTGCCTTTCAAAAGGTCTTACGGACATGCTCTTCTGAGAGCCCATTTTAATTTTCCGAATGTATTAACTGTCTTTGGTGCAATCAGTTTTAATTTGCTGGGGTTTTTCTTTAATTAGCTGCCTGAGCAGATGGCCTTATATTAATCATGTGGAATAACATTTCTCTGTAAATATATCTTATTTAAAACCAAGAGAATGGTTGAGACGGCTTAGGTTCATTTTTGCAAACTCAGCAACTCAGGAAATAGGCAAAAGACATTCCTAAATTACATTACACAAGCAGTACCTTCTACAATCTTCACCTCTACTGAGGACTTCCTTTCCGTTTTTCCATTAGTCATACACCAGTAATAGCCTATGTCATCCTTTTGCAGTTGATTCAGTATGATAGTGAATGTGCCATTTTCTGGATCATCATGCATCGCAAGTCTTCCCTCATAGGAATCCAGCACAAAGCCATCACTGCTTATTAAGTCAGTACATCCACGTTGTTTCCACTTGCACCAGTATTTCAATGTATCATTCTCTTTTGGCTTATAATGACATTCAACAGTCACAGAACCACCCTGGACTCCATTTAACACTGACTGTTGCTGAGGTGCCAATCCATCTACAGATAGAAATATAAGCATAAAATTATTTAAACATGTTCTTATAATTGTTTTCTCAATTATATGTATTTGTAGAGACAGATTTGGAATCCAAGAGCTCTTTCACTTACTTTCATAGACATGTAGATCTAGCTTTTTGGATTCTCCATCTTCTCCATAATTCCCAGCTCCACAAAGATATAAACCTGAATCTTCTTTCTTTAACTGGCTCATAATGACACTGAAAGATCCAGGTGTACCAAGATTGGTCAACAGAGTTCTTCCTAAGTAGGATGGTTCCACATTTCCATATGTATCAATCACATTGTAACAGCTGGTCTTTGTCATCTTGCAAAGGTACTTCCGGGAACTTGCATACTGAATACCAAAGTCACAGGTCATAGTCACTGTTTTTTGCTGCTCAGCATAATAAAGTTGCGCTTCCTCGGGTAGTACTGGGTCTGCATTAAAGTAATGACAAGTCATTAGATGCATTTATTTTGCCTTCTCTTATGCTGTCTTCTTGTAATATCACACAATGGTGTGATGTATATTAGCATTTTGACTAATAGTTATTTATTTTATGTTAGCGTTTTATCTACAGCTACAACTATAACAGATAAGTAGTATCAAAAGTAGCCTGATAAACCATAAGCTTGATCAAAATTCTGATGACCCTGATAAACTGTGCCTAGCTTGCCACCCTACAAATTGAGCTCATTTTCTTAGCATTAGGGAGCTGCTTCTGGATCTTGGTCCGAAAAGTGCTGTTCCCAAAGCAAAGTGTTTGCCCACTTTTCTCTCTGGCCAGCTGATCAGCATGGACTGTTGTTTTCCTGTTGCAATTAATGACACAAAACAAAACAATCTAGTTCCTCATGGATTCTCATTGTTAGTGATGAAAGCACAATATGACTAATTGTTAGGGGTGGGAGAGAAAGAACAAGAATGATGTTTTTATTAGTACAATGAATATATAGATATGGTATGGTATGGTATGCATGTAAATGAGCATATGAAGGAACAAATGTATGCATGCAGTTCATAATCCTGGTTTGGTGCTCTGTGCTGATTTCAGATCCCATGTCCTATAATGTCATTATGCTATTTTATACCACAATAATATATATATATATATATATATATATATATATATATTTAAATATATTAACATGATATCTCGGACTATATTAACATTTTGTGTTTTTTTCCCCCTAATGCCGAATTGTGGTATGTAAACAAATCACTGAACGCCATTTCAAATTTCAATGTCTACTTTTTGACATACCAAAATGCAGCAAAGAAGAGAAAATCTGAAGCCAGTTTTACTCCCTACCCACTAAAGTTTATACTGAGCTACAATCCTTTCCCCATACACCAGTTTTGTCAGGCAGCTCTTTCAGATAATGTCTTCTTAGAATTAAGCTATAAATCTGTACATTTTCATTAAAGGGGGAAACATAATACTGATAAATTATCTTCACAAAGTGTATTTATTTTAAGAAATTTTAAGCTGTGCATTTATTTAAAAATGTGGATATATATCACAAGTCTTCCCTCATAGGAATCTAGCATAAAGCCATCACTGTTTATTAATTCAGTACATTCATGTTGTTTCCACTTGCACCAGTATTTCAATGTATCATTCTCTTTTGGATTATAATGACATTCAACAGTCACAGAACAATTCTGGGCTCCATTTAACAGTGACTGTTGTTTAGGTGCCTAAACAATTATTTCTATCTATCTATCTATCTATCTATCTATCTATCTATCTATCTATCTATAATACAATTCTTGAAATATTAAATAACTGCAAAAAAACTGAGCAATATAACAGTGAACTTGATAAAAATACAATTATTTAAAATGCTTTGGAAAATTAAATAGGGATGATACCACAGAAAAGGTCCTTTCATTTATACAAATATCATATATTTCTCTTAGATATGGGTTAAATAAACCTAACACACTTCTCCTAGGGAAGGTCCACATTTAGCAATCTTAATGTATTATCTAAGAAAGTCTAGGGCATTATGCAGGGGTGGGTTATAAAATTTTTTACTACCGTTCTGTGGGCATGGCTTACTTTGTGGGTGTGGCTTGGATGTCATGTGACTGGGTGGGCATGGCTAGCTGGTCATGTGACCGGGTGGCCATGGCTATGTGTATAGGGACTACTCAGAGGGCTGAAAAAAGTCATTTCTGTCAGGTCCTCGCACTTTTGACTGGTCCTCACACTTATGACCATCCTCACATTTATGCCCGTGCAGCATTCTTAACAACCATGTCACTCATTTCACAACTGCTTCTCTTCACCATGGTGACAAGATAGGGCAAAAAATGTAAAATGTGAGGACAGTCATAAGTTCGAGGACTGGTCCAAAGTACGAGGATCAATCAAAAATAATTTTTTCAGCCCTCTGAGTAGTCCATATGCACAAAAGGATACAGCAATAGAGAGGAATGAAGGAAGGAGAAGAGAGGGAAGGAAGAGAAAGGAGGAAGGAAGGGAAGGGAAATTAGAGTAGGAATGAGGGTAAGAGAGGGAAGAAGAGAGGAGGAGAAGGAGAAAGGAAGAGGAAGTAGGGAGGAGAAAGAGAAGGGGGGAAGACAAAGTAAGAAGGAAAGAAAAGAGAGAGATGGTAGGTTTGAGGAGAAAGATTGCTGTACAATAAAAAAGATGAAAGGGAAGAAAGGCAACCCCAAACAAATATAAAGATATTAAGATAAACTTTAAAGAATAAAAGAGAACAATTATGAATAAATAGTAATAATTAGAAACACACATACAAACATACAATGTATTTTCTTTGAACAGAGTATTTGGCCAGTTCACAAATTTAAACAGTGTTTAGTCATTTCAATTAAATTTACAATTTCTATATTTCCTTTTTGCCATATTTATTCCTCATCTATTTTTTTAAAAAACCAATATTACCCTTCATCCTCATCTCTAATCTTAATCAAATTCAATTTTTCCCTTCTATTCTATATTATACCCCTTCCCATTGTCATCTATTTTTATATCCATCCTCACATTGGTTAATTATGTAATATTACAGTTGTTTAATACAAATTCAACATTTTAATATAAATCAATTAGTTATATAACTATCTTTTTTGTATATTAATCAATATGAACATGAATATTCCAATTATTTCCATGCAATTCAATTTCTTACAAATCAATTAATTATATTTACCAATAATAATAAACCAAATAATTTCCCCCATATATTCCTCCAAACCACAACTGAACCATTTCTGCTTTCAACACAATATACAATTAATAGTATCTCAATTATTACAATTCCCTAGTTAAATAGAGCTTTTTTCTTTTGTGTTTTAAAATCTTGAACTCTCCACTTTTGCCCTAAATTTCCCATTGTTTGCACCTACCTTTTTTGGTGAGCAAAAAGAAAAAGAAATATCTCCCTGCCTCATTTTGTCACGTTGCAGCAAAGCCTGCTTTACTTTCAGTTTCGTTTTTCCCCTAGCAAAGCTACTCATTTGTTTTCTTTTAACACTGATCAGCTGTAGGGCGGCCCTTTGAAGCCCCGCGACAGGAGTTTAAACAGTTTTTTTCCCTCTAGCCATCAGCTGGGACTTAGGAGGCAGCAATAGATTGGGGGTGGGGCTAAATAAAGCGTAAGAATAATATGGGGGGGTTGGAGGGGTGGGGGGGAAGAACCGGTTCGGTGACATCATATCGTCACCTACCGACTCGCGGGAACTGATGCGAACCGGGAGCAACCCACCACTGGTGCGATGGCACACACGGCATCACCCTTTCCTCATGCGCAGATGCCGATCAGCTGGCCTTTGTGCGTGCAGCAGTGCCAGAAACCAAAAGAGTTGGTTTTCCATTTTCCGGTCTGAGCATGAGCGCTGGCCAGCTGATCGATGTGTGTATATGCATGGCAGAAACTGGAAATATCCGGCCTTATCTGGTGCATACATGCCCCTTGGGCAGCTCCTCTTCCTGGTCACAGCCCTGATGACCGTGCGCAAAGTGCTCCCTTTTCGGCACTCGATGCTGAAAAGGTTCACCCTCACTGGTCTAGAGGATTAGAAAACAGTACCTTGAGTAACTTCCAGCTTGACTTTAAAGGACAATCCATAGTCATTTAAACCAATGCCACATCTGTATAGACCCACGTCTTTGAATCTCAGGTCTGATATTTTTATGGTGAACATGCCATTCTCTGGAAAGTCAGTTATGGAGGCTCTGTCTTTGTAATCTTTGAGAACAAAACCATTAGATGAAATAAAGGTGTAACAGTGTCTTGTTGATTCCTTGCACCAGTACTTCCTGGAATGAATGTTCACACTCGTGGGAGGATAGAAGCATTTGATACTCACAGAACCTTCCACCAATCCAGTTATTTGCTTTGGCCCAAAGAGGACATTTGAGGCTGAAACTGAGTAAAGGAAATTATATGAGAACATGTAAGTATATGCATACTTATATAATACTCAACACAAATGTGTTTTTCTGACAAAGAAAAAAATAAGCCTTATTTTCATCACTGACATTCAAGTGGAATTTCAAGCAATTTCTTATTATTATTTCAGTTTTCTGAATAAAGCAACTAAAGCCAAATTTTCTAACCTGTTACTATCAAGAAATTCAGCATAATAGGAATATTGGAGCCTTTTTTTCCCTCTGGAAATTTCCCAATTTTCTAAGACAACTGAAGCTTTCAGCATTATGGGACCATGTACAGTTAGGCTTGCTTGCCTGCCTGCCTGCCTGCCTGCCTACCTGCTTACTTACTTATTTACTTCTGTTGATTTACTTCTGTTGATTTAATTAGGCCTTGGAAAAAGTGTCTTATGTCCTATCCTTAGAATATAGAACATAGAATCATAGGGAGGGAAGGGACCTCAGAGGACTTCTAGTCCAACCCACTGCTTGAAGTTATGACTGTCACACCACCTCTGGAGTCAGATGATTGCGATTTGTGTGCTTGGCAACTGGCTCACATTTACAACAGTTGCTGTGTCTTGTGGTCACATGATTGTGATTTGAAAACTTGTCAGCCAGCTTCCAACAAGCAAAGTCTCTTGGGGAAGCCAGATTTGTTTAAAAACGACATGTCAGCCCTCCAAGGTAAACCAGACAAGAAACACAACTATATGACCTAAATCTACTTTTTTGTAAGGCTGCTTTAACAGAATCTTATTAAGCCTTCAAAACTTCCCACCACCACTTTTTCTACATGATCCTTGAGGGTGGGTCCTTTCTAAGATTTTTTTCTTAGACTCTTAAGCTACTGGGGGCTCCTTCTTCTCTTGTCTGAATTCCTGGGTAGCATCTTTTCCCTTATTTCCCCAAGGTCATTACCACAATCCATTAAACTGCACATTTCGCTTAACTTATGCAGTGATGTGCTTAATTTTGGTTTTTAGAAGGCATAATGAAAATAAGAAATATAGATAGAAGTGAAATGCAAGATGAAGACTTTGGAATTAATTGTAGAGATAATTTATTTATTATTGTTGGTTTGATTTATATGCCGCCCTTCTCCGGAGACTCAGGATGGTTTACAATACGTTAAGCAATAGCCGTCATACTTTTGTATATACCTGCTTAGTAAGGCTTTTGGCCCCCCGCTAAGTGATGTTCTTTTTTATACAAAGTCAGTTTATTGTCCCCACAATCATGGTCCTCATTTTACCTACCTCGAAAGGATGGAAGGCTGAGTCAACCTTGAGCCTGGTGAGATTTGAACTCACCAAGATAGCTTCCTATGGGCAATAGATTTTATTTTGGTTTTTATAAGATGTATTAAACATAACCAGTATTATAGATGATAGGATTTGAAATGAAGAGATAAATGGTTATAACCTTGCCGGGGGGGGGGCGGAATGAAGAATCACTAAATTTGTTTATATTTGTAATGAAGACTGAACATTAATTCTTTATATATTTTTCTCTTTATTATATTCTTACTTTTTTCTTTTTTCTTTCACTTTTTACTCCTTTCTATTGTTTTTTTCCCTTTAAGTTTAGTTTGCATTAGATTTTACTATTATAGTAAAATTTTAAAATAAATATATGTACATGAAAAAAACCAAAGCTGAACTATTTAAACTCAAATGTTTTAAATTCTTCTAGACTATGACTAACATATTTATTTGATTTAATTAAATTTGTTTTAATTCATTATGATATATGAAATATATATGTAGTAAATCTGTCTTGATTGTTACTTGGGTATTTGCTCTGTCACAGGTGTCTGTGGGTTGAAAGCCAACAAATGTGTGCTAAGGGGACAAACTACACCAACATTTTGTTTAACATAGTTAATTTTTCTGATGCTTATTTAAATACTCACCGCTTTCAAATTCAGCCTGGATAAAAGTTAAGACCAAGACAAAGAACAGGAGAGCCATTTCAAAAGATAATCCTGAAACCCAAAGTTCCTTGAAAAAAAATAAAAAAAAAAATAAAAAAAAAATTTATTGTATTTTTATTGTTAAAGAATAACAGAAAAAAAAACAATACAAAAATCAGTAATAAAGAAAGAAAAAAAATTTTTCCCCCAACGTGCTGTACAAATGGAAAGGAAGTTTTAGGAGATTAAAGTCTTCAATTCTTCCAGAAATCTCTTTGATAAGGTACTGGCGCTGATTCATCCAATCTCCCAAGTGCAAAGTCCACAAATGGTTGCCAAGTGTTCCAAAAACATTCTCTTTGTATATACCACTTCTAATTTTAATATCACAAGTCAATTTATCATTTAATGCAAATTTCCATGTTTCATTATACCATTCTTCTAATTTTAAGTCAACATTTAATTTCCAATATCTAGCAATTATAATTCTCCCCATTATAACCAAAATCCAGTTATAATTTTGGTTATAAAAATAAAATTTTTAAAAGAAATTAAATAGTCTTGTAAGCATAATGTAAGATGTATGTATAGATTCAATCAAGTAAATAACTCAAAAGAAACATGAGTATTAAGCATCATGAGAATCTACATCACTAATATGAAGACTGTATACACTGGAGCTTCCTTCAAGATACAAGCTATACCAGGTAGGCTTAAAGGGAGACGCCATTTTATCTTCCATTACCACTCAGATTTCAGCCTCGATGTGGTTGCATTTCAAGATTATCAGTATTTCCCAGCTTATTAATTTTGTGTCATAGGACTTCAGTCCTGCACTCTCTTACTTGAAAGAGAAGCCCTGTGAAATTAATGAGATGTCTCTCAGAATATGAAAATACTGTGCTGCTATCAATCACTATCTACATAAACATATAGACAAACCTGATACCTATGCACAATATAAGTACATATCCTTGCTTCCAAAGTAGTGTGTATTATGTGCTAATAATATTGTCATAGGGATTAAAAAAGAAAGCAACTATACAACTTAACTTTGCATTGATCAAAGAGCAATTATAACTTTTGAACTTTGTCACTGTGCAAATAAAAGCCACCTTTAAGCAGCAGCAGCAAATAAACATCCAAGGTGTACCTTTCTGGATAAAATGGGAGTCAATTTAGTTGATTGGCAGCCACCCAGAATTTGATAATAAGATAAGGGACTATAATTGTTTTAAATAAACAAATAAATTTCACAGTTCTTAGGAAAAAGAAAACTGATGGGAAAGTATTTGTACCTAGAAGGGTCACCTTACCAGATAAACTTTTTATTTATTTATTTATTATTTATTAGTTAGATTTATATGCTGCCCTTTTCCGGAGACTCAGGACGGCTTACAATGCATTAAGCAATAGCTTTCATACTTTTGTATATACCTGCTTAGTAGGGCTTTCGGCCCCCACTAAGCGGTGTTCTTTTTTTATACAAAGTCAGCTTATTGCCCCCACAATCCGGGTCCTCATTTTACCTACCTCGAAGTATGGAAGGCTGAGTCAACCTTGAGCCTGGTGAGATTTGAACTTGCAGTAATTGCAGGCAGCTGGCAACTTAAGTGCTACTTTAACAGCACTTAGTCCACTGAGCACCAGGCTTTCATATTATGTGAAAGAAATTTATTATAACTACTACAACAGACATATAAAAAATAGTCGGGCCTTCAATCATGCAGCCAACAAATTGACTTTGTTTAAATAGCTCCATACAACAATAAAGCATTAAAACCATATTGCATTTGGCAATGATGAGTATCAGGATTCACATAACATAAGCATGTCATTTACATGTTGCAGTAGTCCATTTTCATGATCATGTTGTAGAAGACATGACCCTAGCATGTAGCCTAAATCATATCTCATACTAATTGGACTATGCACTTTTATTTTTTATTTTTACAAATAACTCCAGGCAATGAACATATCCAACACATCTTATTCCTCGGGTTTGAAATTTAATTAACTTGAAGTTATGTTGTTAATTAATTATTTAATTTATATAGATGGATAGAATAACTTCATTGTCACTTTGAATGTACACTAACTGGCATACATTGAAATGAACTTTCGTTGCATACAGCTATTTTTTCTATAGCCACAAGAGGGCATAGTTGTCTTCATGTACAATCTACATGTAACTTTTTCCTTCCTTCCTTCCTGGGATAATCTAATCAATTTATTGCAATATAGGACAAGAAAAAATAAATGTAAATACCCTTTACCCTTTGCACTATTCTCATTTGGTTGGCTAAGGGAATATGTTATTAGCTTTCTCAGCCTTACAACCTTCAAACCACAGAGGCAGGTGCAGGAGAATTATCCCATTAGGAATCAAAACCACTTTCTTTTTCAGAGAGTCTAAAAAGAGTCTAAAGTTAAACTATAACTTTAACTTCAATGTAGGGGAAGTTTTTTTCTGATTTTAGTGAGATGTGTAGCATAGGTTCTTATAGTCTGAAAAGAGAGAATGAATGAAGAAGAAAGAAAAAAGGAAGGAAGGAAGGAAAGAAGAAAGAAAGAAATTTACCATCATTGGATCAGTATCATTTAAGCAACTTCTATTAAGTTTCCTTAATAAGAAATGAAACTTTTCAAAAATTCGACTGATTCTGAAATATTACGTTTGGAATAGATATTTCTAGCATGCTTGCTGGATCTGGATGTTGGAGACCTACCTTTTTGCAGATTTTTTTCTTCCTAACAATTGCTTGTTCCTAACTGACTATGACAGGAACACTTACGGTTTCCCTTGTATGTTTATGAGAAGATCTTGTTTCATCAAACATCAATTGTGGTCTTCTTACAGAAGCTTTCCTAATCAGTCCATTTCTTCAGTGTTTTTAAGTATGTCTCCTTAATAGAAATCAACCATACTCAGAAACCTGCAGACAAGACTTTTCTCCCCAGTCTCTTAACTCTTCATATTTACCTTTATCATCACCCTAAATGTACTAATATTCAGTCAGAATTTTTTAAAAAATAAAAGGCGAAAGATTTATACGATCTGAAGAGAAACCTGAAGGGGAAATTAAAAGGGTTATGGGAAAACAAAAAACAGGAAAGACTCCTGGTACAGATGGTCTCCCAATAGAATATTATAAGGCACTTTGGGAAGTCTTAAACCCTTATATGACAGAACTATTTAATGGGGTAATCCAGGAGGGACAGATTCCGAATTCCTGGTCAGAAGCATTAATAACCCTCTTGCTGAAGGAAAGCAGTGACTTATCCCTGATCCAGAATTATAGACCTATTTCGCTTCTTAATGCAGATTATAAATTATTTGCGGCAGTGCTAGCAGAAAGGTTAAAAGGTTTCCTAAGTCAATTTATACATGAAGATCAAAAAGGTTTCCTACCTTGTAGGCAGATTAGAGATAATGTGAGAATAATTATGAACATCTTGGAACATTATGAAACCCATATTGATAAACAATTGGCTTTGGTCTTTGTGGATGCGCAAAAGGCCTTTGATCAAGTGAGTTGGAGTTTTTTAGTGGGTTTATTACAACATATGCAATTTGGGGAAAGGTTTATTCAGGCAATTCGTTCAATCTATTCGAAGCAGTCTGCTAAAATTCTAATTAATGGAGATGTTTCTGAACAAATCTGCATTGAGAAAGGAACTAGACAGGCGTGCCCAGTCTCTCCGTTGTTATTTATTTTAACATTAGAACCTTTATTGAGAGAAATTAGGCATAATTCGGGGATAAAAGGATTGCATATTAAAAATCAACAATATAAGGTACAGGCATACTCTGATGACCTAGTATATATATTGGAAGACCCCATTTTATCGGGTCCATTTATGAGTTAGGAAAATATGGAAATGTAGCGGGCTTAAAAGTAAACAAGGAAAAAACTAAGGTTATTATTAAAAATTTGACAACAAAGCAGGGGAAGGAATTAGAAGCAAATTTGGGATTCCAAATTGTCAATAAATTACGATATCTAGGTATTATATTATCAGCTAAATGCACAACAATTAAAGAAGATAATTATTTGAAATTACTCCAATGAACAGAACAGGATTTAGAGAAATGGAAGAACCTTCAGACGTCTTTATTAGGTAGGATCGCAATTATAAAATCCTATATCCTCCCAAAATGGACATATTTATTTTATACAGCACCAGCTAGACTAGACAATACTTTTTTCAAAAAGTTAAATCAATGTGTTCTTAAATTTATTTGGCAAAATAAAAAGCCCAGAATTAAACTTAAAATGCTTCAAGAGATGAAAGAAAGAGGGGGATTTGGCTTACCAAAATGGGAATATTATTATCAGGCTGCAAATTTAGTTTGGGTAAGGGAATGGATCCTGCTGAGAAGAAGACGGTTGTTGATTCTGGAAGGTTCAGGGTTACAACAGGGTTGGCACTATTTTCTTTGGCAAGATAAGGTTAAAAAACAGTTTTGCAGGACATTATGTAAGGAATATCCTAATTGATACATGGAGGAAAGTTAAGGGTAAACTTTACTTTTCGACTCCTTCTTGGTTGGTCCTGTTAGAAGCTACAACATATAGTTTGCTTTATAATAAAGAAAAACACCTATCCTATCGGGAACTGTTGGATGCCCAAGGCTGCTTAAAAACAAGAACTGAGTTAGAGCTTCAAGGAATAAAATTGGATTGGTGGTCCTATGCCCAGATCAGCTCTAAATATAAGAAAGACAAGGAAAAAAGTGGTATAGTTATGACCCAGCAAGAAATAGATAGTATTATATTAGGAAAGGAGGAAAGAATATTATCTAAGATTTATAAATTATTAATAACTTATTGGATAGGGGATGAGATTGTTAAAGACTCAATGATTGCCTGGGGGAGAAATATTGGTTACTCAATTGAATTGATAAAATGGGAAGAAATTTGGACGAAACAATTGAAATTTCTGATGGCAACCACTTACAAAGAAAACTTGTATAAGATGGTGTATAGATGGCATCTCCCTCCTGCTCGATTAGCCAAAATGTTTCCAGGACTCTCCCCAAATTGCTGGAAGTGTAGGGAGATAGGTACTTATTATCATGTATGG